CACCCTACCCTTTCTACCAACACCACTCTCGTACCCCAACCCCCCCCCCCCCCTGTTCAACAAAGTCCGCAACGATATCTTTGCTCCCCGACACTTGATGCGCATCATTGCCGTTCGGCCTCACTCAGTGTTGACATTGATATGGGAAAAAGTAGCTTCCATTCACATCAGCCTATCAGACCGGGGTAAGCTTAGTCCTCGGTCTTGGAAGCGTAAGCCCTTCGTCTGAAAATGATACCTGCGTCCCGCGTTTCGTAGCTCGGTTTAATCCTTGCTCTTCTGTATTCGACTACCGTTGATTGTAACGCTTCGCCATCATCCGACTTCTTTCTGGAGCTCTTAGCGTAAACGTTCGGTGGTCGATCGACTTCCGTCATGGACGACCGTAGCCCCCCAACCTTGTTGTTGATCATCGTAAATAAAGGCAACTCTTTCGGTCTCTTGTTGATGGGATGCTGCGAATGACTTAGGCAAATGTGCTTTTAGCACCCATTTCTGTTTTGCCCGCGATTAAAAAAGCCGAAACTGGAGTTTCACTTCGCTGGAACAAAGAAGTCTGCCGATGATGGATATTACAGAAGGCCCCCTTTTGCTGGAGTCGGCATCTACAGGAAATGTGGGGCGCATGTTCGACGACGTATTCGGTCGGAGTCGTGCGCCACATCGTGGTCTTGTCTACGGTGGGGTTTTCGCCCGTTGGAGCAAGACCATTGGTCGTGGAGCACTGGCGTCGGTTTGCAGTGCCCATCTACTTGAGGATCTGTGATCTAGGCTTTTTAGCTTGGACCCAGATCCTCGTCTACGGACAGATCTCGTCTACACCCACCGCAGCGACAGCGACGACAGCGACTCTTCCGGTACGGCTTTGAGTGAAATGCCTTCCCCCGAGACCCATTGCCTCCCACTTCTGTTTCCCATGCACTTCTCCCCCCCCATTTCCGATCCATTTTTCACTCCCTCGTAGGCTTGCGGCTATTCTCGCACTCAGCTACTGTGCTGGCTCGGCTGCTGTGCTGGCGGAATACCACGTGACGCCAGACACCCCGGGCGACTGCGTAATACAAGGCGCAGTCGCCCCCCATGAATCTTCCGCCACCGCACGAAGGCGTAGACAGCGCCCCGTTTACGACGTTGTGTGAGAGTCGCTGCGAGCTCGCTGGGCTCGGGTGAGAGCAACCACGCCAGTAGCCAACCCCATCTTATTCACTCAACATGCACTGTTCATACTTCACCATGTTCTTGCGAACACGTCATGCATCCGAGGGTAAGCCCGACGTCGTCTCGTACCATGGCAAACTTGTGGACACACGCAAGTGGGTAGTGTCTTGGGTGGATTTCAATAAGACGATATTATTTCAATTCGATACTCAGCAGTGACATCTAACACTACATGACCCGGGTATGAGAATGCCATTTGAGATCGATGCTACAATAAACTTCGTG